ATGGCATAAAAACACATGATAAAGTACAAGAAACAAGGAAAGGAACAAGACAAGAAGGATACGACATACGTCGAAATAGCAAAGAGAGGTCCAAGAGGCATAGACCAGAATCCACAGTATTAAACCTAAGTGAGCCAATACATGATAAGGTAATGATTAGTATGATCCATGCACATTTGCACAATATCATTGCACCCGGATCATACAATGAGGAATTAAGGAAAATGTTTAAATTGAATAACCTACCAGAGATGATATTTCCAGAGAATCCACAATCCGAAAAACTATTTCAGACAACATATGCAAGCGAACTGAGAAGACTACATCAAGACGAACAAAGGTTTGAGCAAGGAGCAACAGCTGATACACAAGGAACACAAGCGACTGATAGAGATCCCAGACAAATGACTAGAAGTGACAAAGAGAAGATAGAAATAACAAAAGGACAGACAAAGGAGTAGGAGGAGAGAAGATAAGATGGAAACTGATCACAATATACAACCTGAATCTGCTGAAGAAATTGGATTAAAAGTTATCACTACAACAAAACATGGAATCCCAACATCGAGACCAACAGGAGGGACAATAGTAAAAACTGTGAAGGAGGGATATACAAGTGGACATATCAAGAAAAATCCTAAGTGAAGATTATGTCTGGTCACTAATTACTACGGACAAACTAAAGATTACGGCCAAAGACTTTAAAATAGTAGACCCGTCAGAGTATAGAAGAGTCAGAAGGGAAACAGGATGATAGGTCTCCACTCCAACTGCCACAATCCAAGTATAAGAAATAATGGACAATAGACAAACAGTAAGAACTTTAAGAATAATACAACACAACGTAAGAAACTGGAAGACCAGAGAATTAACCTAAGTAATATATATCGCGAAATTGACCCTGACATTATACTAATAAACAGTCACGGTGAGACAGAAACAACAACATAAAACTCTTTAACTATTATGTAAACCAAAGAAATAAATCGGGCGAGAAAATGACGGAGGAGAGTTAAAAGAAACTTAAAATTTAAACTAATTGATGACTTCCAGGATGAATTTCTAGCAATAAAAATAAATACAACTCAAGGAGACGTAATTATTGCTACTACTTACCTATAGAAGACCTATTAAAATTGGCTAACAATAGTCATCCGATGTACATCTTAGGAGACTTTAACGCCAGACATAGGATTTTTGACAATACAAATAATAACGTCGGGAAACGCCCTTAATCAATTAATAAATTTAGGGAAAATCAATCATCTGGGTCCTAACTTTCCAACCTGGAGAAATCACAATACACAATCGACACCAGACAAAATTTTTACCAACAACAAAGCCTTTTTCAATTACCATATAATACAGGCAGTGACCATCTGCCAATTATACTAACACTGTCAACAAGCCCCATACAGATACCAATAAAAAAGAGACTGAAAATGAGTAAAACAGACTGGGACAGCTCAAAGACGACTTAAGTAATCACCCACTCGATTAACCTACAAGGAAAACAACAGAAGATATAGACTCAGAAATGGACAGACTGCACTCAGCAATAAAAACATCTATAACCAAACACACTCCTACTTCACACTTTAGAACATTACCCAACAACAGACTACCAGAAGAAGTTAAATTAATCCAGACCTATTACAATGAAATAAACAGGTATATGGAAAGACACGGCAGTAACAGATGGCTATTGTTACGAGTTGGGGATTTAGAATATAGTTATACGTCTACCCAGATCCCAACAGGTAACAACAATAAAAACAAAGACAATCGGACTATAAAAGGGTAGACAAAGGATGCGAGTTTTCGTTGTATATAATAGAGTACCATAAATCCCTTTAACAAAATATTCAGCTTATAAATTACCCTTAACCAAACTTAACCTAAACATTAACAGTATATACATATTAATAAACATAAAACAATCTCGAAGCAAGTGGACGTGGGGAAATTAATACAAGAGATACTAGTACTTAAGTGAGGAGCTGAGATGGCTGACGAGTAAGGCTGAGTATTGTAGAAGACGGTAGGTAGTCACTGCACGTACGTAGGTTTAGAGGATAGATGATCCTGTGGTCACTCCCAGAGCCAAGTGCTCTCTCCTCGAATTGGAGGTGACGCAACAACCAGGATAGGGAGAAGGAAACCTCGGAGTGGTAACTAAGACGAGTCATACTCGTGTCTCGTCCCTAGATGGCGTTGCTCGTGGTGCTGGGTAGGTAGATCAGGACAATAGATGGCGTGCTTCGTAGTGCTGGGTGGAGGGTTCAACACACCCCTCCAAAGACCTCCGTAGCGCGGGCGCGAAGGAGGTGATCACCTGGTGCGTCTGAGAGTAGCTGCTGCATTTCCACTGGAGCTCGGGATAAGAGTCTGCAATCAGGTTATAGGGCTGGGTGAGGAGAGCCCAGCGGAGGATTCGCTGGTTGGAGGTCTGTTGGTTTGGATGAACGTGAGTGGGTTATGGTCGGTGAAGACTAGGGTT